AACGGAATTTTGAATAGGTCCAAGATCCTTCGCCGCCTCCTCCACGTTGATCCTGTTGGATCGGGGTTCTGAACAGGTCCGAGCTTCTTCGCTCTTCATCTCCTCGGATGTTGCGCCTGTTGCCTCAAATAGCCCTTGAGCGCAGATATGGCTACTACTAGAGTTCGGGTTGGCGGGTTGGGTCGGGTCAACCCGACAACTCAGCGAGTCCGATCCGTGATAGGAATTTGTCCTTTACCTAGCATAAACAATAATAACAAGATAAAACACAGCAAAAATCAGCGAGAAAGATGTTTATTTTAGCACAACAAACCAAGATAGAAGTTAATCGACTATTCGAGAAGTAGATCGGCTCTCAATAAACCCTAGGCGCTGCTAGGAAAAATTTTAAAGAAAGCTACAACAAACACACATAACATGATAAAATAAAACAACCCCATTAACCCCTCATATAAACCTTTCTACTTCCCTCCATATTTTGAATTCAAATCATGCCAAATCCCTTAATAAATGCCTCTCACATCTTTCCTAAAAAGCTTCCCCAAAACCTCTTCTTCAATAAGTGATAAAGGATGTCCTGGGCCCCACAGGAGAGCGAAAAGATTTTTTTTTTATTTGTTGAAATGTTTGTGGGCCCCATATCAATACTCCTTTCTCGAAAAGTTACCTTGTCCTCAAGGTGGAAAGAGAGAAACTGCTTCTGGATGGTATTATAGGGCTCTCATGTCGCCACATATTCTTGTATATCTTTCCGCTTGATCAGCACCTCCCTGATCTCCGGGTCTCTTTGGCGAACCACTTTTACCCCCAGTAGTTCTAATATCATATCCATATCCTCTGACAGTGTGGTAGGTAGTGTGGGCGAGAGTTTATGGGCTCCAATGGCTTGTTTCAATTGCAATACATGAACTATTGGATGGATGGTTTAGGTTGGTAGCCAATGTAGGCGATATGCTACTGCACTAATGCGTTTCACATGCTCTGCCTCAAATCGACTATACACCAAAATGTCATTGAAGAAAACCAATACAAACTTGTGGATGTAGGGCTTAAAAACCTTCTTATAAGCGACTGGAAGATAGTTGGAGCTTTGGTAAGCCCAAAGGCATCATTAAAAACTCGTAGTGACCTTTATGAGTACTGAAAGCAGCCTTATGGATGTCAGTGGGTTGCATTCTGATATGATGGTATCTTGATTTTAGATCAATCTTGGAGTATATCATCGCTCCATATAACCCATCCAGCAACACATCAATGACTGGTATAGGAAACTTATCCAACACAATTTCTTTATTTTGAACTCCATAATCTACACAAAATCTCCAACTACCATCCTTCTTTTTCACCAATAATATAGGACTGGAGAAGTGACTAATACTGGGAAGAATGATTTGGGACCCCAACATCATCTTGATTAGTCTCCCAATTTGTTCATTCTGAACCTGTGAGGTAAAGTCGAACTCTAATTGGGGATACCCCCTCCTTCAAGATGATGGCATGCTCATACTCCCTTGGGGGAGGTAGGACTTGAGGTAGCTGGAACACCTCACTAAATTGATGGAGTGGCTGGATTATCTCTGGAACCTCCTCTTTCCTCATACATCCTCCTCCCCCTCCCTCGAGGCTCTGGAGCTCCACCAAGAATTCCATTCATACTCCCTGGATTGCCCTCATCATGATCTTAAGAGAAACTTTTGTTTTGGACCGACAGACTAGGATCCCCCCTTATTCTCACCTTCCTCCCTCTCAAGATGAATTCCATAGTCAATGCTTTCCCATCCACCTTAGTTTCTATCAATGTTTGTAACCACTTCATGCCCAAAACTATATATGTGCTCTCTAACTCAAAGGGAAGAAAATCCTACTTCACTGGATCTTCTGCAGTGTCACCAACAACCCTAAGCAAATGCCTCTACTCTTCTCCATCTTCACCGTTCCCATCATCACCCAAAAACAGCCTGTGTCGACTATGTTAAGCCCCAATTGGTCCACAACCTGGTTGGAGATGAAGTTGTGGGTTACCTCACTGTCCACCAGAACTATCACTAATTCTTCTCTTATTTGTCCTCAGTCAGCTGCTTGAAATTTCCCCCTGGTCGTGCTCCCAATCCCCTATCCTTGATTACTTATCTCTAAATGGGCACAATTTGTGCCATAAAAGTAGTCGTCGTCTGATATGAAGCTCCCAAATTGTTGCCCTTGTTACTTCTCTCAAGTGAGTTTTTGTCATCCATCAATTGGGCTAGCTCCATAGCCCTCCCCCAACCCTTGTCGTCTTGATAACCGGACAACAGCCCTTACCTCTGGCTTGAGTCCCTTCTTGAAATTCCCCTCCAACACTGCTCAGAAAGCTTCCTCAATCGGCTAGAAAGGTACTTAAACCTCTCCCGATAATCCATCACTATCTCTTCTTGAACAAGAGCAAATAATTGCTCGTAGAAGTCTTCTTTTCCCAACTGGTTTTGAAAATTTTCTAATAAACTATATTTGAACTCTCTCCTTGATCGAATTGGTTCTCTCACGTCTCTCCGCTGATACCAAGACAAGGCTTTCCCCTCCAAGCATAAACTTGCCTCCATGAGTCTCTCTTTCTCCGTCAGCCCATTCACTACAAAGTATCTATCCACTCTATAGGTCCACCCATGAGCATCTTCCCTTTTTAAAAACGGGTATCATCCGTTTTTTCTCTCTCGGATCCCCTCCGTTCCAATTTTCCCTTCCACCTCCTACTCCTCCCATATAGCGATTATTGTGATCTCTCCATTGTTCTTTCCCACCCCTTCTTTCATAGATATCCTCTTCCTCAAAATCAGCCATTCTTATTTCTTCCTATCAATTTTCCTTATGCTATATCCTTCACCCATTCCCCTTCTAGTTATCGGTTGAAGTGGCATATTTTCCCTATCGCCCAAGATTTCTGCCTCTCGATCATCCCTCATTGTGCCAATATTGGGGTTTCCCCCACTTCTTTGGTCACCTGCCGGTGCGTTCGCCTCTAATGTTGTCGGTTCGGTGTGAAGCTCTAATATTTTCTTCATCATATCCTCTAGATTAGAAAACCTTCTTTTCATGTATAAAATCCTTTCTTTAACCTCAGATTTGAATTGACCAACTTCTCCTTCTAGTTTCTCCTCCAAAGCATCCACTTTTTTCGGCACAATAGGTCCCAAAAATGTGCTTTGATACTAATTTGATATGAATTTTTCCTCAACACTACAAAAACAACAAGAACAAGATAAAACACAACAAAAATCAGCGATAGATGTTTATTTCAGCACAACAAACCAAAATACAAGTTGATCTACTATTCGAGAGGTAGATCAACTCTCCACAAACCCTAGTTGCCGCTAGGAACAATTCCAAAGAAAACTATAACAAACACACATAACATGATAAAATAAAACAACCCTATTAACCCCCATATAGACATTCATACTTCCCTCCTTATTTTGAATTCGAATCAGCCTAAATCCCTTAATAAATGCCCCTCACATCTTTCCCCAAGAGCTCCCTCCAAATCATCTTCTTCTATAGGTGATAAAGGAGGTCCTGGGCCCCATAGGAGAGCTAAAAGGTTTTTTTGATTTGCAGAAAAGTTTATGGGCCCCACATCAGTCTGGTTCGGATTTCCGATCCGTTTGCAAAATCAAGTCGGGTTAGGGTCAAATCATTTGGACTTTGGTCAATTGGGGTTGGACTCGAACCCGATCCATTTTGACACCCCTACTCTCAAGCATAATAAATGTTGAATTCCATCTTGTAGGTACATATTGTCTCAATCCTCTCGTACCATCAAGACAATTTTGCCTAACACATTCACATAATTTTTGTTTTTTGCTTGAGAGCCTTTAACATATTTGATGCTCTCATTCACCTTTAAGGTAGAATAATTAATTTCCTTCAAATCCTTCTGAACAATGAGATTAACAATATGTGCACAACATATAATATGAAGGAATTCACTTTGACAAAGGAGGCTATCTTTCAAATTCAAATGATTCCGTAGGAAATTGATAGAGGCAGTATTTGTAGAAGCATTATTTAAAATAACACTGCATAGCATAGCATATATTCAATTTTTCAGTCAACTAGAAACTGTTAGAGTTTTTAATACAAAACTCTGCCATCGCCGGGGGGTGGGTGGGGATAAAACCAAAATTTATTTCTTGTTTTTGAATTGCTAATTATAATTAATAAGTTATGCAGTTAAACAAATAAAATTATCTTTGTTGATTTCTTTTCTCATGAGTGCTCTTTGTTAGGGGTGAGAACATTCGGGCCGAGTTTTCTTTTAGAACTTGCTAGATGGCTATGTACATACACTGTCATGTATGATTATATATATATTTTTTATTTTTTTGTCATGTATGATTATATAGTGATGGCACATTTCTTGACATGAAAGGTACAGTTTGACCCTTAAAGGGCACAAAATGAGGCATTTAAGAATGATCTAAATTATTTCAGAAAATAGAGGAAATATTAAATTTGACTTTTATGTAGTTAAGATAGTTTTAAGATGAATAAGGTCAAGAAGAACATGCATTTACTTGAATAGCACCTTTCATGGTAAGCCCTTTATCTAGTGCATTTCTTCAAATATTATATTATTTTAGGAGGCTTAGATTCTTATTCATTTATACGTTTATGCTGAAATGTCCAGGTTTGTCTTTTGTCAAAGTGCTCAAGTCTATTGAATTATTTGATTTTTTTTTTCTCGATGCTAGTTGTAATCTAGTACAAATTCATGCTGCACCAAACCCATTGAATATTCATTTCAATATTAGTACAATCATATCTATTGATTGCACCTTTCATTCTATTTAACAACAAAAACAAGTGTTCAGATGTCTATTGTGATTTGTTTGATGCATGAACCAGCTTGCATCTTACGTGTTTTAGCAGGAAGTCCTTTTGAAAACTGTCTATTTGTTATTTTAATTTTAATTATAAGTTTTCTCCTTCTCTATACCAATGATTTGGATTTTTTTTCCATCCAGGAGTCTTTCCAAAAGGCAGGACAAACTCAACTTTTCTAGGATCTCCACAATCAACGATTGGAACCACTGCTACTAGCAGCAGCAGCAGCAGCAGCATTTCGATTGAGTTTTACCGTAATGTCTCCATTAACACTGGATCAAGCTGAGCTTCCCCCAAGTATGCGAAGTTCATTAACGTGTTTACGAGTAAAATAAGGCATTGTTGCTTATCTAGATGCATGAAACCCATCGCATTGCAAGCTATAGGCATTCTTATCAGTTTGAAACATTTGTTCGAAGTCATGAAAATCAGATTAGGCATGGAATGAGAAGAGAATGGTTTAAAATTCAATAGTTTAATTGGGGTTGGATCAAAGGTTAATTAGGTTAATATAATATGTATTTAAATTACTTAAATATAATCTAAATGGCGTAATAATGATATAATAATATTGTGATAATAAAAATATGTTACTAAAAATAATTATAGCTCATACAAATAATATTTACAATAATTATAAATTAATAGTTTTATGAAAATACGAACCTATGAAGGAGAGACATTGTGGTTCAAGGAGGATTGCGTGTGGGTGGCCGTCATCAAGAATGGGAGATGATCACCAACGTGGGTGAAGGGCAAGGGTGGATGAAATTGCGCATGAGAGAGCGCAGCCGGTTTTGATTTCTGTTATTTCGAGTAATAGGGTTGTGGAGTTTTCAATCAATAAAATTTATATATTTAAATTTTATGATAAAATTTTCAGCCTTTATATTATTGAGCAATCCTGCTTATTACTGCATTATTTGCACTGGTTAATTCTACCAATTCAACAGTAATTCATTTGAACCCGTAATTGTAGTCAGTTCCATCCAGTTTGATGTGACACCGGTTTTTAAAGTTAACCTATTGATCGGTCCTATTTTTCAAACATTGTTTTAATTATTAATTTCATTATAACATAATTATAGAATCATTGCATCACTCTTATGGATGTTTGCAACCCCAGTTATTTGAACTCAGGATGTTTAATTCCGTTCTTTTAACTTTTTTTTTTCTCTCTGATATACAAATGCATGATTGGAATCTGAAAGGGAGGACGCTGTTAAAAGAATGAGCAGCAGCTGAATGGCCCGGAGCTTTGGATTTCGACTTCTTTAGTCAATATGAACCAGGGATTTGGCATTTTTCCTTCATAATCCGCATGTGTATATTTGACGGCTCTTGCCTCGAGCCTGCATTGTGTGCATTGAACATGAGCTTGATGATCTTGAATTTCTGAGAATGGTGATTGCTAACTGTTCAGTTCTCTGGCATCCCTGCGTCACGTTGGATTTTTTAACCAGTTGTCTGATGAAGGTCAATTCCTGATGAATTTTATGTTTATCTAATTAATTATTTATTTATTTAGTGTTAATTGATGGAATTTCTTGAAACTTGGATTAGTATGCACGTTTAAAAGAGTAGCTGAGTAAGTTTCCATTTCTGATGTTCGTGTTCTGAGAGCTGCAACTGAGAATTAAAATAAACCAAGAAGAGTGCCTTAACGGCTGACTAGCTATCATGCACATTTACTGTTATTGAAAAAAAAAAAAGAGACTTGTATAGTAAATGAAAATGAAAAGTTGATAAAGCCGGAACGCCTGTCTTGACAGCAATCTATACAAATATAACCTTCCATTGCAACCAAAATGTATTTTGTTAGTATTGTTGCTGAACAAACATTATTAGCTGCTTAGTTTGTTTTTACTTTATGGATGCCTATGGGATTATTATATTTACATACTTACAATCCTTTGTTGAGTGACCTTGTGACGAATGCCTTTGTCATCTAAAACATTCCTCGGCACAATGTCATCACAAAATTTGGCAATACAATTAATATCACCTTGCTGATTTCTATTGCCATCTATTATTGTATGTTTGATATCATATAATGTATAAAATGCCTTGCATCCATTATGTACCCTTGGTCTTTCAAATAAATCACATGCTGCAGTGTGATCTCATAAAGTGGGCAAAATTTAAAACTGTCAAGATGAAAGAAAGTGCCAAATGAAGAATTTAAAATTTTATTTTTTAGTTGTACGTACTAGATGTGCTACATACAAGATTGATGAGAAACAATTAAACATGGAAACACAAGACTATAATTGAAATAAACTTATTATGAAATTTATATAAAATAGTGAATCATGGCCAACTTGATTTTTGTAGTTCATAATATATGGCACAATCATATTTTACAATTTGTATCAGCTTTTGGGGGTTTCTATGTGATCAAGTCATTGTATACAACAACAACAACATCAAGCCTTTATCCCACTACGTGGGGTCGGCTACATGAATCCTTTTTCTCCATTGTGTTCTATTAAAAGTCAAATTCTCATTTAAACCTAATAAAGAAAGGTCATTCCTAATATTTTCTAACCAAGTCTTTTTAGGTCTACCCCTACCTTTCTTAACATAAGTCAAATCATCCTGGACTGTCAGCTAAAGTCTGGCCTAATAGAGCGATTGTTTGGACGATATTCGACGATTTGAACTAATCCTACAAGATGATGTGGATGATCAGAACAAAAAAAACCTTCTAATCGTCCAGCCCTCCAAATCGTCTTAGCTGATTGAGCTGAATTTGTGTTGATCGTACAGGACGATCCGTCGATCGTCCAAGACGATCTTTGTCGATTAATTGCAAATTATGGCAAATTTAAAGCCCTTCTTTATAAGATCTCTTGTTTACTAAAGATGAGATCTATTACTGTGGTCCTGACCTGAGAGAGCCAAGAGGAGAGGGAGAGAAAGGGAGAGAGAGAGGATCTTGTGAGGAGTTTATAAGGGTTTCACAAAGGTTGCTTCAAGTAAGGATCCGCGTCTTCTCCAGCCGTCGTCCATGGTTCCTTGGAGGTTTTTGAGAGGTCTACTTTAGCAATTGATCAAGGTTCTCTGCCTGCTTCAAGAGGAAGAGAAAGAAGTTAGGTTCTCTGCCTGCTTCAGGAGGAAGCAAAAGGAGTTGGGTTCTCTGCCTCACCGGAGTCAGTGAAAAGGATGTTTGTATAGGCTTTTCCACCTTGCTGTGGGAGCAAAAGGAGAGTCACTTTGGTATAGTGCAGTATCTAAAGAGGGAGTCTTTAGGGAGTAGACATAGGTCTTGTTAGACAAAAATACTATAAATTTTTTTGTTTGTTTATTTTTAATTTTTACCACATTTTGAATTTCGTGCACTTTTAATTTTGTTTTTGAAAAATAGTTTTCTATTTTTTACAAAGATAATTTTAAACTTCCAATCCCCCCCCCCACCCCATCTTGGTTAACATACATGAACTTTTAAGTGGTATCAGAGCCTACTTTTAAAATTAAGGTTTAGACAATTTTTTGAAAATGATCATGTTTACTTTTGGAAATAGTAACACACCTGAAGGGTATTCGTCGCTAGAACCGCATTATTGTTTAGCAAAATATCTCATCCATCTTTGTTGAATATCATCTTCTAAGAAAAGTATTTTTTGATCTTCATCAAGTCATTGTATGAAAATGCAAAATTAAAAATATTAAAATAATCGGATTATATGATGCCAATTGTATTAGATGATTGGTAATAAAGAAATTTTGTAATTGGTATATGTTCCTTTCCTTATATCAATGTCAAAGTTGACCTAATTAAAATGTATTATAAATATCATACTATATAATGATGTAAATAATTAACCTAATTAAGACCAAAATATCCAATAGAAAATAAAACATTAAATCAAGAAAAAAATGTAATTCATATCATAGAAGCATAATAAAACATTATATCAACAAATAGAGATAATTTCTCTTAGAATCATAATAATAAAATATTCATATTGTACAATAGTTGTATCATAATATATTTTAAAGCCAAATTATCTTATAATAGTATTTTAGGTTTTTTAATAAAATTCCCTTATTATAAATGCCTTTCTATTGATTCTAAAATATATATTTTTAATGAAAGGCTATTGTTATAGACAAAAATATTTTCTTTTGCCATCTTTTTTTTTTTTTCCGTTCATAATTAAAAAGGGAGATTGTTGTGAGAGTTTGATTTCTTGGTTCTCTTCCTCTAGTTATATCCTTGATCTCTTATTTTAGATTCCAAAGTTCTTATTTAAGAACTTTTATGCATTATATTAATCTTGTGGAGACTTCTTATATTATTTAGTCTAACCACTATGTTAGGGTAGCAGTGATCTTCGGGGAGGAGATGCTAGGGCTTTCTCCATTAATTACCTTATAGAGAGAGAGGTTTCTCTTTTTTGTTAAGTGAAAAAGTTGTGTTTTTATTAGAATTCTTTAGCAAAGGGCTTAGCAAGTGGATGTAGGCCGCTAGGCCAAATCATTGCAAATATGATTTGCATCTCTTTTACATTTTGCACTCTTTAGGTCACTTACATTATTTGTGATAATGATGGTTAGCTATGATTCGATATTATCTTGCAATTTGATGAATGTGAAAAGGAAATTGGCATTTGTTGATCTCATCTTTGCTTTTAAACAAAAAAGTAAAAATATACTTCGCTCTATTTTTTTTAGTTTCTTTTATATTTTGGTTCGAATAACTTATTTGTTTCAGATGATTCGAATAACATATTTGTTTCAGATGAATAAGAAAAAAAAATCTTTGATTTTTTGTTCTCTTTTCATATTTGTTACCTTATTTTTACTTAATTAAAATCTAATTTTTTTAAAGGTGCACTAATGCCCTTTTGCTCGCATGCCATGCACTTTACCATCACTAATCCTAAAATCCTAATAATTTTTAACAATTTCCCAATAATTTGGTATAAAATATATTAATAAATTTTAAAACTTTACTTTATTTGGTGTGCACATCTATGAAAAACTATTATATTAGCTTAAATAACTAAAACGATTTATTTGATTGATAAAACATGAATGATTATCGAAGAAGTAAAAAAAAAAAAAAAAATTAAAATTGTTAGGAAAGAACAAAATATATTTGCGAGACTTATTTTTCAGTAGAGAAAAATGACTTGGAACCAAAACCCAAATATGAGTAGAAGTGAAACAAATTTCAAAATGTAAATCTTGTCCAATATGAGTGCCCCATGAGCCTAGACCAACATTACGAACTATTGATCGTCACAAACATAATTTGATTAAGTTTAATCATTTAGAATACTAATTCTTTTTGTAGGTTTTTAGATTAAATGGTAGGTGTACATAAGAGAATCTATATAAGATGTGTAAATCTAAAGTATAAAGACACTAAGGCAATGACCATAGCTCTAATTATGTTCCTCTCTCTTAATCACACTCTAAAAATAGAACTTTTTGATACTTAAAATGGGCTCCAAAACACCATAAAATTTTCAAATTAGCCATTACTATCATACAGTACGATCAAATATTATACAGTACGATTAGTACAAACAAGCTTCATCCTGGTATGAAGGTTTACGAACAGGCTAAAAATTCTAAATACAATCGTACAGTATAATTTAAACTCGTACAATACGATATGTAAAAATCTTCTGTTCATACAAGAGGATTACCGGGACGATCGAAACTCTTCTCTGTAAATCTTAGGGTATGACCTACATTGTATAGTATGATTAGTCAAAATCAAGGGATCATCTAGTACGAAGTCAGGGACGATCAAAAATAGCCTCGGTTGATCGTATAGTACGAATGGTATTGTATAGTATGATATCCAATCAGAAATTAATCTTTGATTTATCCACTAATCACGGTATTAATTTAAGTAAGTATTCAAAATAAATTATATAGTATGAATATGTTTGTATATTACGAACGGCTATTAAACTTACTTAAATTAATCTGGCGGCTAGGGTTTTTGATTATTAACATATCGTACAGTACGACTTGTTTTTTGATAGCCATTTCAGCCAGATCGGATCGTACAGTATAATATAAACTCATACAGTACAATCAATAGAGAAAAAAATCTATATTTTTAAAACCCTCTCCCCCTATATATGTGCTTGGTTTCTCAGTATTTCATACAATTTGTGGCCAGACTCAAGAAAAGAAAAAATAAAAATAAATGAAAAATTATAATATTATAAACTATCATACTACTCTACCCAGTCTTGAGTCGTCTTGTTGTCCTGAGTAACTTGTGATCTCTTTGAAATGTTAGTACTCACAGACAAGAGCAGAAATTAAAAGTATTCAATGAGTAATAATTCAAACGGTATTATTTGTCATCATCAAAATATCAGACTAGGGGTCATGGATTGCAATCATCCCCCCTTTTTGATGATGTCAAATAATGTTGGTTATAAGCAAATTTGTAAGGCATTTTTTTTTTAATTTTATTAAAATATCATGAAACAAATAGGAAAGGAAAGATGCATTTCGTTGAACTTAAACATAAGTAAACATAAGCAAGAAACATAAGCAAGAAATATAAGCAGGATAATACTAACTACAAAAGACTCAAAACACTTCTTCCCCTTTTATCATCACCAAAAA